AGGCAAAAAACCAAAACAAAACAAAACAAAAAGAACACTGGAATATAGTTTGGATGTGTGTTCCCGCTCAAATCTCATATTGAAATGTAATCCCCCTGTCTCTTATACACATCTAGATGTGTATAAGAGACAGGTTTTATATTTGATGCTCAGATATATTAATGAGAACGTTACTGGGTCTACCAAGCAAATGGGTTTTGAAGTCTTGAATCTTTTCAGCAGGTATACGTTTATATGAAGGCAAACGTTTCCAGGAGCCGTCTTCACATTTCTTCATAAACTGGTCAAAGAGCAGTCTTAGGTCCTTGTTCCAGCTGGGGTTGGGGACAGAATAATCCTTAAGAATGACTTCCTCAGAAGAAAATGACCTCTAAAAGACAGAAGAAAAAGAAGAGTGAGTAATGGGAGGTGCATTCTATTTCATAACATATTCTCCCAATTTCTAAGACTATTTTGCTGCTTTCTTCTCCCCATAAGCTTGTCACTTCAAAATGGAAGGGAATTTCAGGGATCACCTGGTCCAACCTCCTTGGGAAAATGAGAGATTGAGAGAGGGAAAATGATTTGCTCAACATCATTTGAGCTATTGACAGCGAGCTATTGACAGAGCCAGCATTATGCTCAGGTCTGCTGATTCCATTCTTTTTTTCAAACTTTAATCAAGCACAGGTGAGCCCAAGACACTGGAGATGGAGGTGAAGAACAGACATTATCTTAAATGTTAAAAGCTCTTCCAGTGGCTATGCACAGGAAGTCAGGGGATACGGGAGAAGTATTCATCTAGGATTAGGGGTTCAGGAAGGGGTCCTTTGACTTGAATATTGATTAGATAAGCAGAAATTAGCCAGCTGGAAAAAGTATTACAGGCAAAAAACCAAAACAAAACAAAACAAAAAGAACACTGGAATATAGTTTGGATGTGTGTTCCCGCTCAAATCTCATATTGAAATGTAATCCCCAATGTTGGAGGTGCGGCCTGGTGACAGGTGAATGGATCATGGGGGTGAATTTCTCATGAACGGTTTAGCACCACCCCTTGGTACTGTCCTCATGATAGTGAGTTCTCATGAGATCCGGTCGTTTAAAAGTGTATAGTACCTCGTGCCTTGCACTCTTGCTCTTGCTGTGTCCATGTGAAATGCCTGCTCCCACTGTGCCTTCTGCCATGACTGTAAGTTTTCTTGCTTCCTTTTCTTTTTTTTTTTTTGAGACAAAGTCCCACTCTGTTGTCCAGGTTGGAGTGTAGTGGCGTGATCTTGGCTCACTGCAACCTCCACCTCCTGGGTTCAAGTGACTCTCCTGCCTCAGCCTCCCAAGTAGCTGGAGTTATAGCCCCACCACGCCCGGCTATTTTTTGTATTTTTAGTAGGGATGAGGTTTCACCATGTTGGTTAGGCTGGTTTCGAACTTCTGACCTCAGGTGATCTGCCCACCTCGGACTCCCAAAGTGCTGGGATTACAGGAGTGAGCCACTGTGCCTGGCTGACTGTAAGTTTTCTAAGGCCTCCCCAGCAGCCAAGCAGATGCCACCATCATGCTTCCTGTATAGCCTGTAGAAATGTGAGTCAATTAAACTCTTCTTTATAAATTACCCAGTCTCAGGTATTTCTTTATAGCAACGTGAGAACAGCCTAATGCAGTTTGCAAAAGAGGCATGAAACAGTTTTGAGGGGCCTTATTACAATCATATGAAGGAGGTACTATTTATTATCCTCATTTTACAGATGATAAAATTAAGGCCTAAAAGAAGTTTGGCATTATTAGGGTACAAGAGTGGAGCAGATGGCTGCAGAAATGCATGTAAAACCTTAATACTAAGCTAACTGGCTTGAATTTTATCTGCAGTGCTCTCTGAGGGATTTTAAATGGGGAGTAACATGATTAGATCTTTCCATAACATAAAAGATAGTGGGAGTGTCCAAGATTGAAATCAGAGGGCCCTATCTGGAAGCTACTAGGGTAATTCAGGTGAGAAATCATGAGCGCAGGAAGCAGAACTTGGTGGGTGACTATTTGGATAAGGAGGGTAAGGGAAAAAGAGAAATACAAGACCCAGTCCCAGGATTCTGAATCCTGCAATGAGGTGAATGACAGAGCCAATTACCAAAAAATATAGGAGAAAGTGGAGTAGGCAGCTCAGGGGAAAGTTCTTGGTGTCACAGTAACCACAGCTTCCATCCATCTATTTCTGTAGCACCAAGCACTGCTATTACTCCAATGCCCAGGCAACAACTAGAACATTACAGGGATCCTAGAGGACCTGGAAGACAAGGTGTGACTTACTAAGGAGCAGAACAAAGTGTATGCCCACAGACACCAGAAAGGAAAACTGGCTTTCTGGACTGCTGCAGATATCTTGGAACATGTAGGATCACAGAAGCTATTAACTCCATGGCATTCTACTTTCAGCCACTCTTATCAATTCATTCAGATTTAATGTACCTACAATAGACAGACTGCACCATAAAACCAAAACAGGGAGGTCACAGTATGATGGGAGAACCAGCTTTCTGCTGACAGGGGCTGGCTCCAATGCTGGCTTGGTGGGAAGAATACAGGGAACCCATCTCAAAAACTCTATGGAAGAGGAGACGCCTAGCCTCCCAACCTACATCTTTCTCCCATGCTGGATGCTTTCTGTCCTCGAACGTCAGACTCCAAGTTCTTCAGTTTTGGGACTCTGACTGGCTCTCCTTGCTCCTCAGCTTGCAGACAGCCTATTGTGGGACCTTGTGATCGTTCTTAATTATTGTAGGAACATAATACATGTCGGATTGGGCAGAGTGATTCCTCCAACTTTTTTCAAAACTGTATTAGCTGAGCATGTGGAGGCATGCATTGTGAATTTTAGCTCAAGATTGACTGCAAAAACCAGCAATCCGGAGAGGACCCACAGACCCTCTGAAGGAAGCGGACTGCTCCTGCAGGACCGGGAGACATCTCAAACACTATGAGTGCCCCAACTGTGGACGTGGGAAAGAAAGACCCTTCTCTCCCGAACACACACCCCCACTGGGGAAGCTGGTCTGTCTGCAGGAGAAATTTCTGACTTTACCAGGAGCTGAGTCAAGTTAGAGAGCTAAGCCGAGCGAAATACAGGGGTAGAGGAAGCAGCAGAAAGGCCCTGGGAGCTCACTGGGTCCCTAAGCAGCCCATACCTGCCTGGCACCACAGGGATCCATCAGGAGGGTGGCCAAAGGAGCAGGGGGTAAAATTCCACAGGGAGAAGGAATTCTCTAGCTGAACTTTGTAACAGTTTCAACTGGCCAGAACTCGGGGAGGGCATGAACCCAGCTTGCAGACTTCAGAGGTCGGGGAAGAACTAA